TAAGCGAAGTGAGAAATAGGGTAGGTTATGCACAAATGAGTGGCTGTATTTAATCATGGTAAGTTTATTTTGGTCAGGTTGAACCTAAAACCCCGCTAAAAGAGTGGCTACTTGTATGCAGTTTTGTTCGAAATAAAGATTTGAAACAAACCTAACAAAACACTACAGATACCTTGTTCTCTTGTGACTTAATCAATCTAACAAACTCCTTTTCCTCTATTTCCTTGAACTCATCAAGAACTGCAATTTCTTCAAATTTATCCAGCATGAACTTTTCGCATTTTTCCGTCAATTCTTTGTAATTGTACAGGTTTGCGATTCTTTTTGTCACAAAGAATGATTCCGAAGACGATTCGAGATTTTCTTCAAGTGAATCAACGATGCCTTCACAGACATCTGTTATCATGAAACAAACATATATATTATATGTATTTATACATTTATCTATGGGCAAGCACACATCCATTTTGATTTGTCCCTCTCAAATTCCCAGTCCTCACACCTCTTACAAATTTTCAAAACAGAACCCATATTAAATTAAGACATATTTTTAGAGAGAACATAACTTTTGCACCTCGAAGCATCCTGGATTACTAAATCTTCCTTTCAGCGAGAAACCGCAACTATAGAGACAACTATAGAAATTCAGGCCCAAGCAAACCAAATAGCTTTATTTGTGGAAGATTGTCCAGGTATTTTCAATCACAGAGGGTTGAGTGAATCTCTTTACAGTCCAGAAGAAGGATCTACTTTATATCACCTTTCAACTGCAGTAATTCAGCCACAAACATCAAAGATTCAACATTTTCATCAGTAGTAGACAATTCCCCAGTGTAAATATATTCTATGCATTGTTGCAGTGATAATGGATCAACTTCTTTCATTTCCACTTTACCAGACGCTGTCTCAGCATTCTAAAGTGTGATAATACCAAGGATTAAAACTACATTAACGAGGGTAACAGTACTAACTGTCAGAGAGTTAACTCAAACAGTTTATGGCTGAGATATCAGATAAACATGAATAAATACAACTTACATTATGAGCCAGCATTGCTTTGAAATAATCAGATCCTACAGATATAATATTCTTATGAACTGGGATTTCTTCAGAGCCAGCTATGATCATGAAATCACAATGATCTTGAGTTTCCTTTCTGCTTCTGCAAAATTATATTTTACATCAGAATAGTGCACAGGATATTCCAGTGCTAATTTCAAAGTTTCAATACAGGGCCGGGAAGCTGACTTGAAATCACTATGGTTCTATCTGTATTTCCCGAGCTACAGTCTGTTCGTCTTGCAAAGATGGCACAAGAATTTCTCCTGGGGCTGGGTATTTTTGAATAGGCCTACCTGATGATTTCAGAATCAAATCTAATATCCCGTTTGAAATGAATCTTGAAATATATGCAATTGTATGTGACAATTTTATTGTGATGGGTCCTTAGGTTATATAAACTACTGAAAACATGGTCTCCATCAATCAGACAGTTCACTGAACGTTTTCAAGAAACATTTTTATCAATAACTCACTAGATAGAAAAAGAGTTGCACCAGAATTGCATTAGAAAAATATAGCTTCAATATTCGACCTTAGATGTCCAAATAAAAAAACAAGACGTTGGCGATTTGTGTGCCTCAAATTTGGCAATGTTCAAGATCTATCAAAATATCAGTTTATATTTCGGGCTTTTAATTTTCTTAGAGTGAACACCAGAAACAAGATTTATTCTTAAATCTAACTAGAATCCAGAATTTCAGTTTGTTTTTTGGTTTGGACGGTTCGTACACTCATATTTTTTTCAGAGGGAACACTAAAAACAAAAGTTTTTTTTCATTTTCTTCAACTTGCGATGCACATACACACTCATTATTTTCTCAGAGTGAACACCAGAAACCAGATTTTCAAACTTTATTTTTTGTGCCTCAGTACTTTTTTAGAGTGAACACCAGCAACCATTGTTTTCTTAAATTGATCCACAATTTTGCAGTTCATTTTTTTTAACTGGTGAGGAAAGCACGCGCCCCTAATCTTCTTAAAGTGAACACTTAAATTCACGTATCCACCAGAGTATCATGTCAATTTACAACTGGAATCCATACTACGGATCCAATATTTGAGTCGCGGCGTTGTTTACTAATGCCGTTGGCAACATTGCCCGAACCGGTATAGCATTCCATCTGCTATTTTGACTAGAAAAGCGTGTACTTTCAATGTACTTGATTTTTTCAAATAACATATATAATTCGACTTTATATTATCAATTTCTTGTTAGACTTTTTTTACGGGTGCCACTGCTCGATATCCAAACAAAAAAAATCAGTTTTCATAACAAAAACTTGCACATGCGAGCTTTCTTTTCTTTCAGTTAGTACAATTCAAGCTTTTCAGTTAATGGAAAGTTTTGACTCATTTCAATTTCTGGCTTGTGAGAAACACATACGCCTATAATTTGGTTAGAGTAAACACTGTTAAACCTTACACCCTACAGAAGACTCATCTGTGGGTAAAGTTATGGACAATCACTCTGATATAAAAAAGACTCCATATCTGAGTAATGTCATGGGCAGTCAGAGGTAAAGGGTCTCATCTCTGGGTGAAGTTGCTCGCACTCACTCAGAAGTAAAAAAGACTCATCTTCGAGGAAAGTTACAGGCACTCTCTCAGAACTAAAGAAGTCTCATCTCTAAGCAAAGTTACAGGCGCTCACTCAGAAGTAAAGGAGACTCATATTTGAGTAGAGTCACGGGCACTCACTTAGATTTAAAGAAGACTCATCACTGGGTAAAGTCATTGACACTCACTCAGATGTAAAGAAGACTCATCTCTGAGTGAAGTCATGGACACTCACTCAGATGTACAGAAGAATCCTCTATTAGTAAATTCACAGGCACTCACTCAGATATGAAAATAGATTCACTTCTGAATAAAGTCACAGGCACTCACTCAAAGGTAAGGAAGACTCATCTCTGAGTAAAGTTATGGGTACTCACTCAGATGTAAATAAGACTCATCTCTGAGTAGAGTCATAAGCCCTCACTCAGATGTAGAAAAGAATCATCTCTTAGTAATGTCACAAGCACTCACTCAAAGATAAGGAAGACTCATCTCTGAGTAAAGTTATGGACCCGCACTCCGATAGAAAAATAAACTCATATCTGAGTAAATTCATGGGCACTCACTCAGAGCCGAACCAGTGTGAACCTTACACGTCCAAAATAGTTTTAGTGTATAGGGAACCATGTTTGCGAAGAATAAGTTGAGTCACCCCATAAAAATGTTGAAAAATAGGTACAAGTGGTTAACCAGTAAAGAGCTTTATCAAGTCCCTGTACTATTTAAAATGAGTATCTACTCATTTACTCAGATGTAAAGAAGACTCATCTCTGAGTGAAGTTATGGATACTCAATCAGATTTAAAGAAGACTCATCTCTGGAGTAGAGTCACAAGCACTCACTCAGATGTAGAGGAGAATCATCTCTGAGTAAAGTCACAGGCACTCACTCAGTTGTGAAAAAAGACTCATTTCTGAGTAAAGTCCAAGTACTCACTCAAAGTTAAGGAAGACTCATCTTTGAATAGAGTTATGGACCCGCACTGTTACTTACGTCTAAGTACAGTACCTGAATTTCTCCTTAACCCTTTCCGTGCGGTGGGCACGTATACTTACCAACGACAAAAGTCGCTAGATTGCGGCGGGTACGTTGATGTACTCCACTGTTTTATTTAGCAATCGGTCGCAAATTGTTCGTCTAGTTTTTCCGGGTTTTAGTTTATTGAAAAGTAGTCTTCTTCGAGATTAACATAAGCGACGGTAAATCTCGCATTCGTTTACGGCGAGAATTTTATTTGCGCGGAACGAGGGAGTGTTTTTGAAATTTATGCAAATTTCAGTGTTTTTTGGTTGGTAATAGAAGACATATTATCCCTTCCATCTACCAAAGTATTTTGAGTTGGATTACGAAATTGCTACAGCAATATTATGCTATTGTTTGCCAACCACGAAGCAATAACAGTAAAGGACTTAGCGAATATTTCTATTTTTTATCACGGTTTGAAGTATCAACTCCCAAGAAAAAAAATGTCCTTTTTTCTATCCGGTTTGTGACTCACACCACCACTTTTGAAATCAACTTTTTTTTATATTAGCCAATTGCAAGCCCTTTTAAATAAGCATTCCAACAAGCGGTCAGTGGGCAGCAGAGGATCATTAGTTTTTCATTAGTCGACCGATTAGTTGTGGGGGTACAAATGCATAAAATCGGGGTGACAAATACGATTATTTAATAAAAAATAAAAATCGCATGGAAAGGGTTAATCCTCAGGACAGAGCTATTTTAAGCCAAGCTAACAATTCTAGCGTGGGCCGGTGCCCATGGACAAAATGTATAAACATTAAAAATCACGAAAACAAGGAAAAGCTTTTTGAGTTAAATGGGTACTCTACCAGCGCCAAGATGGCAGACACCGAAATGTTGTATGTTTACCAGGTTAAGTTTTGGCCATAATTTCAAGGACAAATACTACGAAGTCACTTGGCTAGTCCCCAAACTTGTAATAGAACTAAAATAATGAAATTGAAATAAAATTATGGCCTGATTCTAACCTGGCACATATACAACATTTGAGTGTTCGTCGTCCTGGTGTACATACTTCTGGAGCGCCGCTAAATGTGTACGTACATTGTTCGCAATGTAATAGCATATAGTTGTTGTAATATTTCACAAAGTTTGTAAATCATTCAGAACTTTGCTCAGCCTTAAAATATTCATGTTCACTAAAACTAACAATTGCGCATCGTAATATTTTCTTAGAGTGAACACTGTTAATAATGTGTGCATAAATAGGTATTATAGTAAAAACACAGAACTAAAACAAATACAATCATAATTTCTCCATAAAATGATGATACCCCTCCTCCATAGAAAATATTTCATTCACGGTTGGAAACATAGCTTTAACCGCATTGTTTTAGGCATCCCTGAAGAACACTCACCTGTTCAAGTCTTGTAAAATCCTATTTGCATGTCCATTAGTCTTCACTTTAATTTCGAGAGGCATTTTACTGATATTTCTAACTAATGACTATGTAATTCAAAGCTAAATAAATCAGTTATAAAATGCCATGTAGAATTTATCATAGGTATTCAGAAGACAATTTAAATTTCTCTCAAACGTATGTCTCAATTTTTATCAGAAAATTAAACACAGTTATAAGGAACATTAAAAATCAAGGGGTAAAAATTCAAACAAATGCTTCAGAAGGGCTTACCAACATTTCTGTATGGGTATTTAGGACTATGCGGGTTAATAGCACTGTTTCTCAATCTATGGCCGCGACCTGAAAACTGGTTCATCTGAAAAACTGATTAACCGTCGTGATTAACTATTTATTCGGTGCTCCAGAATTATGTGAACCAATATGACGGACACCGGAACGTAGTATGTGTACCAGGTTAGGCCCTCCTTTCATTTCAATTTCCTTTATTTTAGTTCTACTACGAGTTCGGTGACTAGCCAAGTGACTCCCGTAGTATTCGTACCTGAAATTATGTCCTAACCCTAACCTGGTACACATACTCTGTTCCGGCTTAAAAAGTGAACCTCAATGTCTCACTGTGTTACCAGTCTATGCCAAGTATGGGAACAGTTAACTAGTTACTTTTGTTTCACATTAATAGACTCGATAGTGATTTTAGTTTACACAAAGAATTAACAAAAGGTGAAAATACAGAGGGCGGCTCAGATATACCTCGACTGCAGAGTGAACTGTTGAGTTGTCTGTCTTGTCGCATTTTTTATGGCAGCATTTATAGACTATAGAGGCGTATTTTCAATCTTTTCAGAATCCAATGGCAAGAAACACAAATATCCTCATACTCTAGAATATCCACTCCCAAAAGCAGATAAATTTTTAAACATTCATCGGTACCCCCGAAGTATGTGAACCAAGATGGCGGACGCTAGAATGTGTACCAGATTAGGGTTAGGTCATTATTTCAGGTACAAATACTATGGGAGTCACTTGGCTAGTCTCCGAACTAGTATAAGACCTAAAATAAGATAAATTGGAATCAATTTATGGCCTAATCCTAACCTGGTACACATACTACGTTCCGGTGTCTGCCATCTTGGTTCACATACTTCTGGAGCGGCTTCATCTTACTGTCTTATTAACAATTCTTTCTCTGCCAGTCTTCATCCAAATAACTATTTTAAGTTATAAGTTTATTTAGACTACATTCATAATGGGCATTAGAATAATTAATAAAAACAAAATTTTGAATCAGCATTGTTTCTATAATTAAAATAGATAGATTAGTTTATGCCTACAGGCAGACCAGCGCATACAAAATCCAGAATCTCCTGAACTATCATTGCCTGACTGCGGAATGAACAAGGATACATACCGGTACTGCAGTACCGTACTGGTACCGGTACCGGTACGATACCGGTACCAGTTCCTACAGGCCTATGGGCTATGGCTATAGACAAGACAGCAAACAACTGCCTGAGAAAAGAACGACGAAAGAAAAATTAAGGAGCACAAACGGTGAGTAAAGCCTGCAATGCAATAAAAAACAATGCAGATTATAACAATATTTATTATAACAGAGCGGCCTTCAACGAACATTAAACTAAAAATGAAACATGCAGGAGCAGACGTTAACGAAATGCGTTGTCTAAGGAATGCCGTTACTATGGTGACCCTGCTCGATGGTGCTTGACGTCGTATTTTGTATGTAACGGGTTGCTGTGTGTTGTTTTTTGCCATAATCAGTCAGTTGATCAATAGTTTATTTTTTGATCATACTGAAAGCACACTAGATATACAAATTACGATAAATTACTAAAAAGCATTTCTGACCCACTCAGAAAGGTAATTAATTCCCTACCCCTGAATGAGATATTAGTAGTCGTGACTGAGTGTAATGCAGGGTGGTACAGGTAACGGTCGATTACGACGAATTCCTCCACCATCGAGTCCATGCTTCGGAAAACAAATAACTAACTAATACCCGTACGAGACATGAAACTTTTTTTTTGTAGCAAAATCTCCCGAAACAGAAGACACTAGTGTTCACTGAGTTCTACCCGACCTAGGCGCCATTCGCCAAACTTCTTTATCGTTTAACGTGTTAGGTTAGCACCCACTTTCTCGTAAAGGCAAAAATGGTATTCTCGAAGTATCGTTAATATTCGGGAGAAATTATTCGAGAGAATATAGAGAAAGTGCCTTCTTCTCTCATTTTACCGAGAATCGGTATTCACAAAAGATCTTTAACGCGCCGGAGTGCTCGCAAACTAACGAGGGGAAAATTTTGCTCGTTATCAGTAGTTCGGCATGTTCTTAGCATTAATTCGGGTTAAAATGTATGTGTGTTTATTTGTAACAGTACCTACATAATAGTTAAACGGTATAACTAAGATGAGATACATGTTCAATACCTTACTGGCCTGAGACAAGTATGTGCCACATGCACACCAACAAATGCTGTGGTGTTTGCATACTTCGTGAAAAATTGTTATCAAAAATCCTTAAATGCCTAAGATAGGTAAGAGGGACTGTAGTCTAGTAGCTGTGGACCCACCTATATATGCCAACTAACATCAAATATGTGATTGCATTCATTCATCTATTTTATTGTCGGTCACAGAAGTAGTTCACAATATGTACTCCAGCATTTATTTCATATATCCATAGATTACTGCTATATGACCCAAATTTCAAAACACAGTCTGTAGACAGGGACACCCTACAGATCGTCGCAAAATGAGCTTGTCCGCTCAGGACGGCTAGCGGCAGTGACTGATGCGGTTGAGAGATCATACAGTGGTTTTTGTTCAACGACGACCGTGCGTTAGATTTCGAGAGAACTTGCGTGACCGTGTGTAAAGCTTTTACGAGATGTTTTGTGAATTTCGCACTTGACGAGATTTCGTAACTGCGTTTTTGAGAGACAAGATTACGTGCTCGTAAACGAGGTTTTTTACGAAGTTTGGCGAATGGGGCCCTTGGACTGGTAACCGGACGAGAAGCCATGGTTCGCCATGTGGTTAAGCCGTCTCATCGGGTTTCCTTCTCCCCCGGGATAAAGATGTAAATTCTATCATATCCTAAACGGTATTGTGGTTCACTAAGTGATGAGGATTCAAAAAAAAAGCATTTCAACAAAAGTTATCATAATTGCATTTTTGATCGTATCAATGGTCATTACTCCTGGCTGGTGTTGTCACGTAAGTACCAATCCCACAATCGCCGACTCAGACATGATTCTTGACTTTCTGACTTCATCAACCGACATTCTTATTGGTTTTTGAGAAAATCTTTACCGGATAATCGTGGGGCAATGGTTATTACCCTTCACTGGAGCCGAATATGTCGTAGAATTTTTGACTGTGAGACCACCATAAACCACCATTTAATAATAAACAATCATCAACCGACAATCTTCTTTGTTTGGTAAGTAGGCTACATCTTTACATGTTTCGTAAGATTTATTGTATAAACACATGCGATGCAATAACAATGCGATTTATACCCAATTTCCATGTTTTCACACCGGAACCTAGGACATGAACGTGCCATAAACTGAATATTGTACATATCGTCGTTGTGCCGTAGCTCTTTGTCTTCTGTATTGAACCATATTAGATTTTTATTTGTCTTGAGTCGTGTCTTAGGCCAGTACAGTCCTGAACATGTATCCAGTGGTAGGATTCAAATTTTTCGACAGCCGGTTCTGTTTCAAACAAAACATTGACAGTAACCAGTAATGCTAACCGGTTCGCTGATCTCATAAAGTTCCGTGAGACGGTTCTATAGAACCTGTGCGAACCGGCTGAACCCCACCACTTCATGTATCCCGTCTGTGTTATGCTGTTTAATTAATACGAAGTTAGTGTTACAGTTTTGAGTCAAATAAACATACGTTGTAAATATAAAACTCAAAGCAATCGGAACTTTGATAGCCGTGGATCAATAATTATTGCTTTCAAGATATCGTGCGCACCAAATGCAGTTAAATCCGGAACGAAAATGGTTTTTGACTTTCTGATAATTATTAATTAAACAAACATTTTATTTCGGTATAAATGGCATAAAACAACACAAAGAATAAACAGAAAAGCAGAATGCAGACAAAAACGGGGAGGCGAGCATAACTAAAAATCGTGCAAGTAAGCGCCCAACCACCAAAAAAATACACAAAAGAGTGAATAATTCAGATTCGGGTTGAAAGTGAGAAACCAAATATATCAACAGCTAAAATGTACTTTATTAAAAGACTTGCATATTATTTGTTAAGTATGCATACTCATGGGTGAATTATGCAGAGGGACACTATAAAAATCAAGTTCGCAGTTCTTAAATATATGGACAGAAATGTTGCTCATCATTATCGTTACCAACAAGTCTTGGAGCATCACGTTTGCTGAACCGACAATCCTCTTTGTATATAAATAAAGCTTGAGCAGGACCTTGCATTGTCATCCGTGGATCAACGGCTATTACCCTCGATTGATAACGAGGATGCCGTGGGTTTGAATCTCGGTAACGTCGTACCTGAACGTTTTTGACTTTCTGGTAATCATCAACTGACATTTTTTGTTAATGAACTGAAACATCAGCTTGGATAAATGATTAATTATTCTCGTCTAGTGGTCGACATGTCATAGGTTCGAATCCCTGTTTTGCCTTCTCTGAATAATAAACTTTCCTTTTTTGTTTGAAGATGAAACTTCACCTTCAGCAACCTAATTAGCCATGGGACAACGGTTAACACTCTCAAATGCTGATCAAGATAACGTGTGTACCGAATCCAAGTTGCCGCAACGAAGGTAGTTTTTTACTTTCTGAAAATCATCAACCGAAAATCTTTTTTGATTATAAATAAAGCAGTTTGTTTCGTGGTAATTAGCCTCGTCGTTGGCAGCCATGCGTGACATTGTTAATTAAGTAAGATGCTGATCCGCCCGATTCTCGTCAGCAGGGGAAGCGTAGAGATATGGTCAAACATCAGGCCAGTGGGTTCGAATC